CAAATAGGAAGTGGAAGTGTCAAGATTTGAACCCACGTCCACAGACACTACCAATTCTGCCTGAGAGGGGGGCAGGAGGTAGAGAGAAGAGGACAGGAGAGATAGTATTTGTAAAGAGCTTTAAACCTTCAGCAAGCTACATGAATAGAATGCAAGCTCATGGGAAGCAGGGATAGCTTCATTCTCTGTACTTGTCTCTCCAGAGTCTAGCACAGTGCCTGGTGGGCAGATCTGTACGAGGGACGGGGCAGACCTGACGAGCTTCTCCTCTGTCCTCTCTAGGTCACCTAGAAGTCCATGTCCACTCTGGGTGCCAGTGGTGCTGAATCCCCCCCCAGCCCAAGTAATGCTCACATCCCCTCAGGAGAAGACTGACCTTTGCCTAGGACAGAGCTTGCTAACCTTTTTCTGTCCTCATGGCTCTTGGATTTCAGTAAATCCGCCCTTTTCAGTATTAAAAGTGCTTTCTATACATAGGCACATAAAAATAAATTAATTAAAGCCTTGGAGCACATGTAGTAAGATGGGATATACTTCTTCAAGTGCAAAAATGTTGTGACTCTTGTGTTTAAGCAGGCCCTGTCCTGCCTGGCTCCATCTACCAATGTCTAGAGGGGTTTTTTCCCTGATGTTCTCCACTGTATACAAGCAGGGCTGTAGTTCTCTGTTCCCCCACCCCTGATCTAGGGATAGGATGTTGTATATTGTGGTCTATTTATTTATTTTATTCTGAAATTAAAGTATGTAGAATAAAATGAATACAATTTTTGCACAGAAAGAAAAATTGCTTGGAAATCAATTCCAAAAAGTCAAATCAAAATATCTCCCATACATCCCTAGGGGAATGTATACTGTAGGATGGGAACATCTGCACTGGAATAAGTACAACCTAAGAGGAAAATGTCAAGAGACAAGCTTGGCTCACTATGTATTTGCTAACATTTTCTTTACCTATGATTTATGTTTTATTTGTTTGTTTATTAAACAAAGGTAAGAGATTAGGTGGGTTGTGGAACATATGGGAGGGAAAGTTATTGATGACTGATAATTTAACCCAAAAGTAAAGTCTGGATGAAACAATTTCCTTTTCAGTAGATAACAATACATTAACTACAGATGAAATTCCTGCCAAGAGACACATCTAAAGAGAGAGAGAAATTGCTAGCCTAACTCAGAGGATGACTTTGATATTTGGTGTTTCATTTCCTTTTTTTTTAAAATGGTAATTTTTATTTATTTTT